CGTTTTATATGAAAATATTGAAATTCTTTACATTTTACGCAAGCAATTCTAAGGTGCTTACGTTTAATATGAACATGTTTTTTAAATGCCAAGTTATGAATGTACCAAATTTTAAATGAGATAAAAAGTAAGTCTTGTCTCACCACGTCGCATGACTACACCTTCTGTCCAATTTGGTTTTTAAAACATTACTAGCTTTTAAAATAACTCACTTCGTGTCGAGAACTTTTTGTATAAAAGTATTACCGTATTCTATATGAGGAGTTTAATATGTTTTAAGTTTCTATTCGTTTGGGAAATTTTTTATTTCATTTTCAAATTTGCAAAAAAAATCTCTAAAGTATATATTATAAAGTTGATAAAGCAAGAGTTAAATGTTATTTAAATTTATATAATAAATAATAACAGACAACAGTACGATTAAATAAATTTTTACGTAAATTTTTAGAATTTAAAATTATTTAATAAGAATTTCGTGTATAGATCGTTTTTAAAATGTTGACTTTAAAAAAGGAAAATTTAATTATAATATGTTTGTCACATTTGAACTCTTACTTACTATCACATATGAAGGACTAATTAATTAAATAAATTAGAAGTGGGTTTTTCTTTTATGAAATTAATACTTTTTCAATTTATAATTAATTATCTTTCCAGGAATATGCAATTTAAAATAAATCAGAATTGGTGTACTAGAATAATAATTGATTGATAAGAATGTTGTTAAATTTTACTGAGATTTTATTGCACAAACTCTTGTATTATGTATAATTATGCAAGTAATTATTATTAATATTTGCTTCATTTGCTTTAAATGACAATAAAGTCTTAAAATAAGAAAATATTAAGCTCGATTTTGTTTATTGACTTATCATATTAATTGGCAAAAATGGTATGTCTTGGACCTGCACAGACAAATTTAATTCTGTCTATATATAACAATCGTGAACTATTTTTTAGAATAGTTTTAAAGTTAAATTTGCTAGAATTCAAATAGAAATAATTTTCATTAACAATTAAACTTCAGAAAACTTTTGGCAACTCATATTGGTTAGTAGAATTTGTCATACAGAGAGAAATAATTTTAAAATATGGGAATAGACTATAAAAAATTAATTTGTTCGTTCGAACTTTTCGAAAATTTTTGCTACATAATTGCGTTATATGTAATACATTGCTCGAGATTTGACACATATAAAATTAAATTTAAATATTTCGAAAATAGAAATTTTTCCTCAAATTTTTTTTTCTGGGAAATTTTAATCTAAAATCTAAATATAAAATTTAATAATATTTTCGCAAACGTATGAAGTACATATTTATTACACAAGTATAAAACATATTTATCAGTGAAAGTAAAATAAAAAACAAAAAAAGTAAAAATTAAATTGCATCAAGTAAACTAATAAATTATGTTATTCGAATTGTTAAACAAATAATAAAATGAGACTGTTTTAGTGTTTGACAAGTAAACATGAAAAAAAATTCCAAATAAAAGTTTTACTAGTTTAAAGTAGACAAGAAGGAGTACAAGAAATTTTAAAAACAAAAGTTTAATTCTTATCTTATCAAAATTTTTTTTTAATGAAATTATTAAAACAATCAAAAAAAAAAAAATAAAAAATTTTATAAAAAAACCACTGACAATGTAAAATATAAAATTGAATTTATATGCCACCTGTAATTTTTCGCTCTTTAATTTTTCATTTTCTTAAAAAAAAACAAAAATAAATAGAAGAATCAAAAGAAAAAGAATTTAATTTTTCTAATTGATTTTTAAAATTTCATTTAATTTACAGTTACTAATAGTAGTTAATGTATACAATGTCAATTAAAAGTTTTTCCTAATTTAACATTTAAGAAGAAAAGAAAAAATTGGCCATGTAACATGATTGATAAATATTTATTGGTCTTGTTTGATTTTTTTTTTATTTTATTTTAAGGTTCTATTGAACATAATTTTTAGGGCGCCTAAAATTTATTAATTATTATTATAATAGCATAACACATTTTTTATGGATTAAGAGTGATTTTCTGATATTGTTGTAAAATTTTCCAAATTTTCACTTTTGGAATTAAGTATATGAAAAAAATGAGCTTAGCTCTATTTATATAGTTTTAGTGTTAACAGAAAGTTGAAACCCACAGCTTTCGACTTTAGGACCTTTTGATTCTTTTAACTATCAGATACTATGTCAACACACTTTACAAAGTGAGGAAGTATTATAAAAAATTGCAAAATCTTTCAAATTTAAGGCTTTTTTCTAATAAAAACCAAATGGAATTGTCCAAAAAAAAGTTTCAAAAGCCGAAATATGTAGATTAAGATTTTTTAGAAAAGCTTTAAGCCGAGTGTTAATTTGTATAACAAATACTCACGGTTTTGTCGGAAATGTTAGTTGGACAAAATTTTTTAATGCCTGCATTTTCAATTTCTTCAATAAATTTCTTTATAAAATTCTTTAATTTGAATTATTTTTTGTTGCAACAATAAGGGTAATTCCTAAAAGATAATATACTATAAAATTGGAGGTAAATCAAGTTTTTTGAAAAGCAGTTTCATAACTATTCATAATTAGTTTATTTCAGTCAATCAACACTATACTGACCATTGTATCAGATACGACGTGATTAGATTGAAATTTTTGTGTACATGTGACAAGACTAGTAATGAAATACTATGTTACTATATTTGTATACTATAATGAGATAATAGGAGTAATTTTTTGTTAATGAAAATAATTAAAAATACTAACATTAACAGGATTGCTATACAATACAGGCACAAAAACGGGTTTCATGATTAATACAGGATTAAAAAAAATTAAAGTTTATTATGATGATTAATTAAATTTTATAAGAAATCTCAGTATCATTAATATGATTAAATACTGTTTTCTAATACATATGAATTTATTAATAAAAGTTACTGAGTATTGTTAAATACAAAAATTTTTATTTTAAATTTTTTTATCAGCACATTTTACTATGATTTCCTTTTATAATCTTATTTAAAATATCTAGAGTTCTATAAACTTTTTTATTACAAAACAAAAAAAAATATTTTTTCTAGACTTAACTAGATTTCCTTTTCAGAATAAACACAATTCATGTACATATATACATATGTATATGTATTTATAATTAAGATAAGATTAAATAAATAAATAAAAAAAAAGTAAAAAACAATAGGAAAGGCACAAAAAAAAAGCATAAGTCCATAGCCAAATATTTATCAGTTTATCAAGTATTATAGTAACAAAATATTACATATTTATATAACATACATATACATACATATGTATTTATTTACAAAATATACGATATATGCATTCCTTTGCGATAACATAATATAAAATAAGGAGGAACCGCTGTTAACTGAAATAGTTCAGTTTTAACTTATAAGAAATTAAATATTAATATTTTCTTTTTTTTAAATTTCGTTAAATAATCATATTTTTATAATAAAAAATACTATTTTTTTTTCTTTTTCTTATATTTTATTATTATTATCTTATCAGGTGATTTTATATGAATGTTGTTAAAATGATTTAAAAGTTTAACAAGAGATCAACTTTTAACGAGTTTTTTCCTTTCTATCTCAAAAAAAAAAAAAATTGTTAATGATAATAAATAAATAATAAATAAAAAAAAACACATATTAATAATAAAATGAAAAAAAAGTAAATATTTCGATAACACTAATAATAAACACAACAAAATTAAATAAAAAAAACTGAAAGGAAAAAAAGAATAAAAAATTGTAAAAATCAAATCGAAAAATAAATAAAAGTCATATAAATAAATTGGTTTTAAATTGAGTACTAATAATAATAATAACAATAACAATAATTATCAAAATATATTAGTAATTATGTATACGCAATGATAATCGAATTTGACATAATAACTAAAATATTTTGTGCATAAATATCTATGATAATTTGAAAAAAATTTTGATATATAAAATTTTAACGTGTGTCAAATCCCGTAACATTATTCTACTACATATTTAATTATAATTACGGTAACCTTCTTCTTAAAGCAATTTTAAGAGAGGCAACAACGGTCTCTATAGATGCGATTGTAAACACAACAGTCTCTATAGATGCAAAATGGAGGGTTAATATAGGTTAAGAATTCAATTTAAGAAAAAATGGAGGCTATATAATCTGTTGAGAATGAAATTGTTTTGTGGTAAAATTAAAAGAAAGCACTCAAGTATTTTATTTTTATGTAAGATTAAAAACAATACAATATTAATAGTACGATTAACATATAAACGTATGAAAACTATTTTACTTTTATATGACCGCATATAAAGCAATTCACTTATGAAAATTACCCGTTTCATTTCATATATGCGAATTAAAATCTCTTATATTATGTATGTTAATAATTGTAGGGTAAAAGGGTAATATTCATCAAATTTGAGGATAATTTTTTAATTGTTTGACTTTGCTTTATAGAGAAATACATTCAATTTAAAGAGAATTTAGGATTTTTTTCTCCAATTACACTGTTTACATATTTGTATTAACTATTTTTTTTTTTGTTTTACAACATTTTAAAATTAACAACAACATGTACCTGAATATTCCGAAAAATTTGTGAAATATGAGAGAGAAAATATCCTCACTCAAAAAAAACTATTTAATGGTCAAAATACGAGTACTGTTCTATTATGTGAATAATTTTAATGGCGTACACCAATTATTAATTTTATTTCGAATTTTTATTGTTTTTTTTTTTAATTAAATTTTTAATATCTAATTGAAAAATTAGAATTACAATAATTAATTTCCAATTAAATAAATTACATTCTATTGAGATAAAATTTTTTATTATTATTTTATTTTTAATTTTTTTTTTTTGTTTTTGAATTTATTAATTAAAATTTTTTATTAAATAAACAAACCAAAACTCAAACACAAAATTTATAAATCAATTTACGTATATATATATAATATAATCATATTTGTTGTTCATTATATTTTTAGCCTTATGAAACAAATAATTCCAATTCATCATCATCAGTACGTGATTTAAAAACTTATAGACGTGATTCTAGGCCAAATACACCACCATCATCTATATCATCCTCGCAACAGCAAATACAAGGACCAGTTGAGAATGGACATGGACAATATCCGTGAGTATTTACTGTATATATCAGCAAATGCATATGTATATATACTAAAATTAGAATATTCATCCATAATACAAATATGCATAAATATTTTATAGATTACAATATAATATTTCTTCTGGATAAATGTATACCTATAAATTCAATGTATATATGTACATTTATTATAAAACTAAAAAAAAATGCTTTTTCTAGATTATAAATAATTGTTTCTTATTTTGTATTTTGTATCTAGTAAATTTAAACAAATATCATTTGGTTTTTATTCACATTTTGTATCGCAAACAGAGCATGTTCCAAATATAATAGTGTAGTCAGCATAAATTTTATTTAATATTTTATTGAGTTAAATTCAATTGTAAGCCCAAAACTCAAAAGTTTCCAAATTTTTAATTTAAAAAATTTTTGAAACTTTTGAGTGCTATTATATCACATTACCATTCTTTTCAGTTCGATTTCGTCTAAAGTTCTCGTATAAGTATGACTATCTTAAAAATATTGAAACTGAACAAAATTTTACTGTATTATAAATTTTAATAAAAATTTTTTAACTACTCGTATTTATTGTGCGATATCCGATTCAGTCGAAATTTGACTTAGAAATCTTGATTTATTAGTATGGTTGAAACCTACCAACACAAATGTTCCATTTGTATTCGTTTAGTTTTTATTCTTGATGGCAAAATTATTGAATGGTTTATTTGCATTTCAATTTGATAGTCAAAAGAATAATAACAAAAATCAGCCTTTCTTTAAAAATTAAACTCTCTGAGCAGAATATAACAAAACATAGCGTACACATACCTACAATACTTTGATTCTACATTATATATGTAGGTATTTAGATATGGGTGTTATGTAATTTGAAGGGGTTACGGAAGGCGATGTAAATATATTATTGTTTGCAGGTTAGGTGACGGAAAAAAAATTTTTTTATTTTATCCATTCGTACATTTTATTTCCTTCTCTTTTTTTTCTCTATATCTCTTCTTTATTTCCTTGTACTCTATTCTATTTTTTATTTATTATTTGTATAAAATTGAAAAACGAAAATAATTAAATTAAATTTTTGAATTTTTTTTTTATTTTTAATATTTATAAACGAAACACCATGACATCGTACATCAAAACCTTTGTAATCATTATTCTTTATTTTATTTTTATCATCATCATTCTTATCATCGCACCGCACTATCATCATGCGGTTGTTGTCGTCGTCATCATTATTATTATTATTATCGTTTGGTTATGGTCATCCCTGAATGGTTGAATGAATGGATCGTATATTTTATTTTTTTCTTATACCAAATTTTAATTTAACTTTGCATTGGCATAGTATGAATGAATGAGTGCATTCAATATTGTCTATATAAAATATATATGTATTATTTCTCTATATTTCTGGAATATCCTTACCATATATTTGTGGCATTTTCGTATATTATTACCTACATATAATTATTATTATGGCTATACATATATATTTATTATTATAATGTGTGGTGGTTTGTTGATAAATTACTATTGACGGTCATGTATTTTATATAAATATAAATAAAAAAACCTGCTGTGCGAATCCTGATTCTTTTAGACATCATCACTTTCTTTAATACATATATGTACGAATCACCATTATATGTTATTTTATAATGATTATTATGATGTTGATTTTAAAACATATATATGTAGACAAATATAAAAATAATGTAATAATTATAATGAAAAACAAAAAAAAAATTAATATAAAAAATTTTTTTTATTTTTCTATTTTTTCTATTTTTAATACAACTGAACTTCAAATCACAATGGAAAATGGGAAAATATTGAAAAATATATAAATATATTTATAAACACCTACATTTAAATATACGCATAAATGTGTAGGTGTCATATCTGTAAAACATTATGTCCTGTTAATAAAATGGAATGGTTATCTGTTGATGTTGAACATATGAATTCACATGCGATGCATTTTCCATTTTTAAAAAGTAATAATGATTCCTCAAATCGTGTCCTAGCGTGTAAGGATTGTGTTAAAAATTTATCACAACAATGGGAGACTATGGATGCACAACGAATACCATTAGAGCATAGAATGTAAGTATATAAAATTTTAATACATACATGTATTTTTTTTTAATTTTTATTCAATATAAACCTTAAATTTATATATGTATGTAGAAACCTATAAGGGAAAGTATATTTCCTACATATTGTACCTATCCATAATGAAATTTCTTCCTATTAATCCCCCGTAGGAAGCAACTGAATACATCTAGTCAAGCGGAGACATTGTATATGTAGATATGCTTTAACATATATGAATGAATATCTGTCCGTTTTACTAGAAATATACATAGATATTAAAAATATGCAATGGTATATAATATGATATATATATGATAAAATTAAAGATTGTAAACACAATTACATTATACATATTATGTAGTTTGGGATACAATAATAATTGGTGTGAAAATTTTCAATAATATTTCGAATATTCGAAAATTCAATTTCTATGTAGTATGTATATATATATGTACATATTTATTACTATAATATAATAATATCATTTGCATAATATACAAGTGAATATTTAATTTTCTGTATTGTTTAATTAAAAGTTATTGACAAAAAGAAAAAATAAAAATTTCGATTATTTTCTCTATTTATTTTTTTTTTAACAATTTACAAAAATAAATGTATTTATTTGCGGTGGGATATTAATATTGAATATTAAAGAATGTGAAATATTACAAAAATTTAAAATTTAAATATTTAATTATAATTATTTCGGGAAAAAAATATTTAAATTTAAATTACCTTGTTTTTCAGAATCAATTGTGCAATTAAATAATTCGATTTTCTTTTTGAAAAATAAATTAATTGTAAAATTACTGTAAGTTGAGGGTATTAAATATTTTCTGCTAATTGTATTCAGAATTCCTGCTAGAGTATTTTTCAGTGTTATTTAAATTTCCAAATCCAATTTGTTTTCAAGAAATCAATATGAATCTAAATACTTAAACCTCATTAAGGCTCCTACTACTTTATACAATGCATTTTTCTTTTGTATTTACTTTAACATATTAATTAATAATTTTCTTCTTTAATTCTGGTTTTAGATACGACATTCCATCACCAAGTTCAATAAATGGTTCAAATCGTCATGGAATAGGTGGTATTATAAATACACCACCATCAACACCATCAGTTTCATCATCAACACCAGCAACTAGTACATCAATATATTGTTTCCTATGTAATCTTCATTCTGATTTCACTTTAGCTAGAATATTATATGCAAGTAAAGAGGTAATAATATAATTCAAACTTAATATATATAAGTATTTTCATATTGTAATTAATATTTATATATTATATTTTATATTTTTAGGGAAGTCGACCATATTTTCCGTTTTTACTGCAACATGAATCACCACCGAATGCTGAACAATTACGTCCAGATAAATCAGCGCTTGTTTGTACATTTTGTTATCATGCACTTTTAAATCAATGGCGAAAGTAAAAAATTTTAAAATGAATTTAAGTAATTAAAGTGAAAATTAATAATTTTTTATTTTTTTTTAGATATGAAGCACAAACACCATATATAAATCCAGCTGAAAGAACTTATAATTGGCATGATTATTCATGTCATTTATGTCGAATAACAACATATAGAAAAAGAGTTCGTGCACTGCCAGTTAGTGAATTTCCATTTGTTAAACAACGAATTAGTGATGATGGTTTATTATTAGAGAATGGAGAATATGCAGTTGTTTGTTTAGACTGTTATGAAACTTTAAGGTATTACACATTAGAATCAGAACTAATAAAATACAATGTGTAATATTTAATTAACCACAATAATACATGAATTGTCTTGATCATTGTAGACAACTCATGAAAAATTAATTTTTAAATTTAATTGTAATAAAAATTTAAAATATTTGGTATTTAGATTAAAAGAAAGTAATTTTTAAAGTATAATTTAGAATTATTTAAAAATGTAATATGCAATATTCTTTTAGAAGCCATAAATAGTTTTTTAATTAAATTAATTTTTAATTATGTACAAAAAATACTCAAATTTTATTAAAATATAATCTTTGTTAGTGAAATGGTATTATAAAATAACTATGAGTAGAAAGAAAATGGTTGTAAATCAATGTTACAAAAATTCTTTGAATGTAAAACTAAAAAATATTTTTGTTATAAAAAATGAATAGCATTTTCATACCATATTTTCGAATAGAATTTATATATTTTAATATTTTAGAATTTAATAATGTTTTATATTAAGAAATGTGAAATTTAGAGATTGAAAATAAGCAGAAAAATATAACTCTTAGTATAGTTTGCTAAATTTCAAACATGTAGTATAAAATTATGAGTTATATTTGTGACCCATGATATGTAATCATATTAATATTATATTCTTACATTAATCTTTTAATATTATTTAATATTTTGAGATAAGAAATTCTAAAAAAAGAAAAAAAAAAACATTTTTATTTATAAGTAATAATACCACTTTTAATTTTTATTTCGTAATTAATATGTAAAATTATAAAAGCACAATATTCTTTGTTATCTACAAGTGTAGGCATAATTTTAGAATTTTATTCATACACTTATGACGTCAAACAAGATTAGTACCTCTTAAACTGGAACAACCTTATTGTTATTATTTTTATTTAAATTTAATCAAAGTGTTCAATTTTAAGTGCTTATATACTTATCAAAGTAATTTTAATAGCAGTTATTTAGATAAATAATCAATATTAAATATTTGCTTTACTTTTATTATGAACACTTACAAAAATTAATAAATATTTAAAGAGTATAATAAATATTCGATCAAGTTTGTAAGCCAGACTGAAGTGGAACTTAATTGTAGATTTTGATACAAGTGGGTTGATGTTTTCGAGAGTAGTCTAGGTATTGTCAACTCTAAGCATTTGATATATATGTTTTTATACGTGGTGTTTATGTTCTTTTAATTCCTTTATTCGATATTCAAATTTGCAGATCATTTTTTTTTGTGTTTCCAAAATTATATCTTAAGTTTTTATAATGATATATGAATATTTCGTATAAGTCATGAATATTATACTGTGGCTGTTATAACGCGCGTATGTTCTATGAACATTAGAATTGATTTAAATTATTTTTGATATTTACCAAGGTTTATCACTTTCCTGTCTAAAATTTTTTGTTATATTTGAATATATCTTTTATTAGGATGTCGAGAAATTATTTTTTAAATGTTAGTTTTTGCTTAGATCTTCCAAAAATATTTTAGTTTTTGTTACATATAGGTATTATCACATTTAAATTTTATTTAAAATATTATTAAAAGATTGAACATGTTATGATTATTGCAGTCATTTAACATGTTCAATTCTTTGCAGTCAACTCTTTAAATTATTCTTAATTTTTTTCCCATTTAATTAGTTTTGAGTTGTAAATCTACATAATATTAATGTTACTAATTGATTATTATTATCAAAGAAAAAATAAAAATTACCATTAATTCGGTAATTAAATTTTTAATAATTACCGAGCAAAAAAAAGAGAATTTCGTTTTTAAATATCATGTACTTACGTATTTAAATTGGAAATTCCAATTTTTGATTTTATTCAAAATGTTCTCTATTAAACTTAAAAAATTTATTTAATACAATTTATTTAAAGTATTTGTTTAGAAGTTTTTATTAAAAGAAAAATAAATCAAATATCCATTATATTTTAATTTGTATATTGATTTATTTGCAATTCATGTGTTTAGTGAAGTCTGTTAGTGAGTATGGTTTAATCGAGTGATTCATTTTATATTTAATTTCTATATATAACAAATTTAAGTTTCAAAAATAATTAAATTACTTAACTTTAGCATTATAATGCAAAAAATACTTATTTTTTTTATTTATTTGTTAAATGCTGAAATTAACAATTAAAGAGTTTGTACCAAATTTGTTTTCCTTTTATTAACATTTATTAAATATTTTAGTTAAAATTATTTATGCAACATCGAAATGTTATTAAATTATTTTATTGAAATGTTCTTTATCGAAAATTATCGAAATGTTATTTTTTTGCTTAATATTAAATTCAAATTAATACTATAATGAACAGGTTAAATTAGACATATACAAATCACTCCAGTTAATTAGACGAGCACAACATTAATTTTCATAGACAAAAGTAATAATAAAAAATTTCATACTCAATTTAAATCAATAAATAAAAGCGAAATATTATTGAAAAGCTAGTGTTTAGCTTTCTTAAAGTAATACATGTAGTAGGTTGAATTGTGTTTTATACGACATCTTAAATTAGTTAACATATTAAAAAAATTAAAGTTTAAAGTATAAAATTTATAAAAACGTGTGTTACGCTTAAAATTTTTATTGTAGGTTTGCTGTTAGAAAAAGTTAAATAATTTTTTCGCCGAAATATGTACACAATTATTACTTGATTATCATTTAAATAATTTTATTTGTAAAAATTAAAAATTTGAAAGTATTTTAAACATTTAAGACCATTTTAAACATTTGACAATATTTAGTGAGCTAGAGGGATACGTTTTAAAATTTATTATCATTACCCCTCCAAGTTTAATAATAATAATTTTAATAAAAAATGTAACATTTCATATCTATATATTGTAATTACATATTATATAACTTGAGTCACCTTAGTATTTAAATTAGTTTATATCCGTATTGCAGGACCCATTCCCTTTTTTTTTAAATGACTCTTCTTGCACAAAGATATTGTGTTACTATGATTTACTATGTGATTGTAAGGATTTAAAGTCGAAAAATGTTTTTAAATGGAAACCTTTGATAAGTATATTGTTCAAGGATGACACGAACTAAATTGAGTTTTATTATTTGTAGTAAAGAGAATTTGAATGAATTTCGTGACTGAATCATGAATTATTTAAAAGTTCAATTGTTGCAAAGTATTTAACTCAACAATACCAATATTTCACTGTTGTATAAACATTGGATAGATGAAATTTTAAAAACTTAACATTTTTAAACCAAGAACCTTGGAAAAAGTTGATGCTTTTATATAATTACTAATGACCAAATAAAATTTGGAAGCAAACCTAATTCTTAATATAAAAACAAAGCATATTAAACATGATCTAAGATTATGTTTAATATAGTATAAAATTTTCTATTTCACATAGTATTGCATATTACATTATATTTAAATAGGTAAACTGTGAGTTTTTGATTAAAAATTTAAATTTACTAGTCTTATTAATTTTTCAATCTAAGGAAGCAATAACTTTGTCTTTTTAACAAATAATTTTTTATTTTAAAATTTCAATAATTTTTTAGACAACAAGCGTCACAATATGACCGTGTTGGTGTTCCTATATCAAAACGAGGCTATAATTGGGTACCACAACCGCCACCACCTGAAGATAGTCCAGATGTTTCGGTAGCTAGATTACCATGTGGAGAAAGATCTGATAAAATTGTAAGCAATTGAAAATAATGTTTGTTTCCTTTTTGTATAAATTTGATTGTGAATTTGAATATTAAACATAATAATTTTGTTGTGTTATTTCAGCAAATTAATTCATCGCTTAGACCAATACCAAATAAAAAAAATAGTTCACCAAAACAATTTTCAAATGATAAATTAAGAGACAATGGTAAGTTTAATTTATTTTATTTTACGTTAAATTGTTTTTGGAAACTTATTATTTGTATCAAATCGTTAGTGAAACTGAAATTTAATTTATATTAGTAATATTCTTAATTCAGACTTAAAAAATTGTCGACTAGTAAAATAGCTTAAGCTTAAAAAATTATGGTAAATGGATACATTATTTTTAGGCATTAAATTAAAAACGAGCGTAAGCATCATAAGAGATTGCTATAATATACTATTTAAGCCATAATTTTGTTATTAAATAAAGCAGTAGTTAAATCAGGAAATTTATAAATTAATAAGAATCTCTGAATTTGTAAATTAAATTATATTGTATTATAAAAGTTAAGTTTAAATGCTGTTTCCAACAAATTTTTGCCTTGTTTTTCGGCACAGTTTACACATATTCACTTTATAAATTCGACTTGGTGTTGAACAACTGAGCAAATTTTTCAGATATGGTATTTCTTTTCTTGTATTAATTTTTATTAATTGTCTCATTTGTTAAAAGATTTTGTAGTTTTATAATATTTTAATTTAATCATAGGATTTTAAATTGTAATAATAATTTTTTTTAGCTGCAATTGCTTTTCTAATCAGCAGTGGTTTTTTTAAAATCGAGAATAATGTATTTTTCATTCAATTCATTTCATATTGTTTCGAGTTTATATTATGTCTATAGTATGGAATACGTTATTGCAGAGTAATGTAAACCAATTTTTAATTGAAACCTTAGAAATAGCACACGATAACATACTTTTAGCTAACGTTCAAGTTAACCTTTATACATTTCATAACCTTTAATGATTTTAAATTTTATTTAAAATATAAAAAACAAATTCTCATATTTCAAAAATCAATATATTTTTAGTGTGTGCCAAACATTACCCTTTTTTTTGTGTGTGTTTTTTAAATGAAAATGTTAAAATAAAAAAAAAATTTAAAAAATAAAAATTAGTAAAACTCAGTTATGAAGAATTTAATACGCTTGAAATGGCCCCCCACAATTTTTTTCAATGAAAATATTAAAAAAGGATTAAATTTATCCCTTTTGCAAAGACATAAAAGTAGATACGTACATAATATGTGTATATATATGTAAACATATTATATTTAAAAAATAAAAATTTTTTTTTTTTTTGTTCATGTTTTGTGGTTATTCAGTCAATCAAAAAATATATGTACACATCACATTTATTCTATTTCATTTGTTATTTAGCTTGAATACCACAAAAGTGCCATCCTTTGCTAGGATTTAATTTCAAAAAAAAAAAAAAAAAATTTAAAGAATAAAAATTTTTTTTTAAATATTTTTAACGTGTTAGCCTTAATACACAATATTATGGTATTAATTTTTTTTTTGTTACGAATTTGCCAATTGAAATTAATAATGGATTTTTGTTAAATTTCTCATCGACATCATGTGTGATAAGAAAGGCGGCCATTAACTGTATAAAGATTAATTTGCGCTACAATATTATTAAAACTTATTAAATATATTAAAAAGAAATTTAAATTTACATGAGTTTGCACAATTAGAAGAAAGTGTGATATTGAGGTAAACCTCTATTGATCTGAGCTTGTTATTGTAACGTCTACTACTACTACACATGAAAATTCAAGAATATAAAAGAAATGAAACATATTTTTAATAATTTCAATAGCTGCCCACATAATTTAATTCCTACTATTAATACCTTATTAATACCTTACCACGGATCTAAATCTCGAGGGTTAAAAATTGCAAATAAAATTGTCAATTCATAGTAAAAATAGCACTACAGACTTATGATGCATTATATTTCAATTATATTGAATTTTGAAATCTTCAATTTATAATATTTTTTTATTTTCAAATTATTCATTTTATTATTTAGCCTATTAAATATTTTAGCCTAAAATCAAAATGAACTTAAGAAATTTTAAATTGTATTATAATTTTTGTATATTAGCGAGTCATTACTGTTATATATATATAATAACAATATAAATGATAATAATAACAATAATATTTTATTGTCAATTTTTAAAATGAAAATCTTTTCATGCCATAAACATTTATATCGTTTAATGTATTGTAAAGTCATTTAAATGTTAAATTTTTGTTAAATATAAGTACAACAACAGTAAAGTATAACAGTATAACAGGATAAGAGTGGTATAAGTGATATAAGTAAAGAGTATATATATATATATGCATAATGTAATTGTGAATTAAAGTAAATTATATAGACTCACGAATCACGTGTCTAGATCAAAAGGAACAGCAAAAAAAAAATGACAAAAACAAAAAAAAATAAAGGGAAAAGGGGAGAGATACATGTATCACATTGTACATTTTGTATATAATATAATATAATAAATATAATATATAAGTGAAGTATGTATGAACAAAAGTACATTTAGGAAAAAAAAGTACTTATTACACTTCAGTGATTATTCACATTAAATGTAATTTTTTTCACATTCTGTTTTCGTAATATTTTGTCCCTGTTAAGTTAGTTGTGACTTAATGTTGTTACTTGTAAATCTACTCTTTTCTGTTTCATAAGTTTTCACTTATTCTCTCTTTTGTTTTTTTTTTTTAAATAACTCGTTCGATATATTCCGATTTTATTTGATATGTATTGTAGTAACATAGGTATGTATATGAATATATAAAGATTGTTTTAAAATGTATAAGGGGGTGCTTGTACTCTATTACTTTTTAAACTTGATGCTTACATTCTTATTCTTCTTTTTCATACATGTTTCCATGAATGTGTATAACCCTAAAGAATTTTATTATTATATATTATTATTTAAGGATAACTGGAAAAATAAGGAAAGTGAAAATTTTAAATAATTTTTGTATATATGCCTATATATACTTATGTATAACAAAAATTATTTCGAAAATTCATTGACATAACTACTTTTGTTCAACATTATTTTATTATCATCGTAATTATCCTTCATTTTGTTATCATTATTATTGTTATCAATGTTACCGCTATATTAGTGTTCCTGTTCTTCTTCATTGCATTTTAAATGGTATTAGAATATTAAACGGTATATATTTACATGTGCATATTCAGTAATATGATTTTTATGATTTTTTATATAAATTATAATAGAAGTACTTTCTTATATTTAATATTATATAAAATGAAAATAATGGTTACAATGATTACTAATAAAAAAAAATATAATGTTATATAAATTTTATAACACTTATTACTTAAATAATATTTATATTATATACTTGAGTATATATTTTTATATTTTGAAGAAAATAAAAAAAACATTTAAAAAGAAAAAAGAAAATAAAACAAAAATAAAGTGAAAATTGTAAAATTTATTGCCGTTAATTTAATGTCGATTTGTCGAAGTGGTAGAACCGTCTGGGTACTTATATATATTTTATTTAAATTGAGTATATTTAAATATAATAGATTTATGTGTATACATATGTATATACATAAACTTACTTATATTTTATATTGTTAAGGTTCTTGTAACTTAAATCGTTTTTTTATTTTATAACGGAAGTTTATTGAGTTGTAAAATTAATGTCCTGTTTTTTTTTTTATTTACTTCTATTTTTTTTATTCTTTTATATTTTTTTGGTTTATATATTATTATTAAAATTTTGTGTAAAATAAGGAGGCTTTAAAAATTGAAATAGGAAATTGAGTAATTTAAAATAAGGAAAAGAAAAAACTTTTTTTTATAAGCTCTTTATTATTTGAGAAAAGTCTTCAAAACTAATTGGGATTTTTAGAAGTCTTAATCACTTTTTACTTCAATATGAATATATACATAATGTATATTGTATATACATAATATAAATTATGTAAAATTTTAGAAGATGTTAGATTTTAATTAAAATTGTTTCGATTAATTTTAAAATTTGGTCCTATAATAAATATTTATTAAAATAATAAAATATATATATCCCATGTGGCCATACTAGAAACATATAAAATTGATCTTCTTTCTATTCCTTAAATTTTCAAAATAAAATTTCAAAATAATTTTAAGCGATCCACCGTAATTTATTCTCATTAATTTTTCTTAAATTACTTTCAAACTCAATTGTCATAATTTCATGCCGGAGTGGCGTTTATGGAAAAAGAAATCAAATAAAATAAACGTTATTACTTAAGTAATATCGGGTTCAGTCAACTATTTTGCTGTCAATTTACATAATTTTCTAAATTTATGTTAAAATAATTCATTTTACTCCGAGAAAAACTTTTAAACGCCTTACAAAAAATTTCTGATAAACTTTATGAATTGAAATTTAATCAAAAAATTGATGTGATGTGAATGACCTCTGTCGTTTTGTCAATTTTTAACAAAAATTTAACATAAATTGATTTTATGAACTAATTTTTTTTTTTTTTTTGCATTTCTTCCTGAGAAGTTATTTAACCCTTAATTAGACCTATCAATAAAATAACATAATTAGTCGCTTAGGTGCTGTAACGTAGTAACCTCTGTAAAATAGTTTAAAATAAAGTAAAATTCTTATGTATTTGATCTAAAAAATCAGAACATGAGTTTCATTTCAATTTTAAAATAATAATAAGAGTTATAAATTCTTCTCAAAGCTACGTAGCTTTTTATTAGACTTAAGACCAAAAAATATTTTATCAGAATCAGCAGTTGATTTTTATGTTCTGATATAAAATAAAAATTGATTCTGATAAATAAAAATTATCAACAACATTTTCTGAATTTTTTTTTGCATTAGAACTTACTTTTGCAAAAAAAAATTTACCTTAGTAACCGCATGAGACAACATCAAGGGCATAAAAATAAATGTACTCGTTAATATTCTGTTCATGATTAATTCTTATAACTGACAGCAAATTAGAAAAATTAACATAAATGCTTCGTTCAATTTGAAATAGTCTGAACCCCATGCACTTAATTAAGGGTTAAAATTCTTAAATAAATCCAAATTTCTTCTTAATAAATAACATTTCCTATGAAAATTTTTTACAATATAGCAGG